AGAGCATCTTCCTAAGAAATGATTGGATTTTCATCAAACACCGTGACTGTAAAACCTCCTTAACCTTTGAATTTTCTTTCTTAGCTAGCCCTAGGATTAGATTTTGCTAGGATTTGTGGGTTTGGTCACCCACATGATGCGAGTTTGACCGACCGCCCGATACTATCTGACTCAATCGATAATTGTTATCAGACGCTCCGATCGGTCATATGATAACGGTCGACTTGACCATACACCTTTTGATTGGTCATTTTTTTGTTGTCATGGGTTTGGTGGCCCACACTAGCTGAGTTAGTCGGCCGACACTAGTCGGAATAGTTATATGCCAACTGATTGGCCAGTTATGTCTTGAAGAAGGTCCAAGGTTGGAACTTCACATTCATGATCATATTGATGGTGAAGCCAAGTGTGTCTCCTTATAATCCTTAGTCCCAACGTAAGTGAGTCAGAATCCTAATTTCCTACTACTGTAGTTGTATCTAGTCTTTTGTGGAGGGATCTGAACATCACACTTGCAAAATGGGAAAAAATTTATAGCTAGTCTATTTTACAAGAGGCAGAGAATGATTCCTTTGAGCAATTGAGAGGGAAAACTCCCCACACTTGCTCATTATGGTTGGAGGCAACTATGTCACATATCCTTGTGTGGAAACCCCATGTACCTATGAGAGGTTGATAGGACAAGTTCGACGTGTCGTTGAAGTGTTTTGGGCTGCAATACTTGCATGTTCTTCTGTGTCATTTTACATATTGCATGTTGATTGTGCGATCTCTTTTGGTTTGATCGCGTCCCAGCTTGATCGACCAATCACTTCAGTTTGATCGACCAACTTAGCACGATCGATCGATCACTTTGGGTTTGATCAATCACTTTGGTTTGATCACCCTATTAGTTGGGGTTGATCGACCGTTCTAGTCCAATCACCTTATTAATTCAGTTCGATCGACCACTCTAGCACAATCAAATGATTACTTTGAGTTTGATCGACAACTTTGGTATGAACACTATCTTTTGGGCCAAAACGACAACACTAGTTCGATCACCCACTTTAGGTTCGATCGGCCACCTTTGCTTGATCGCTCGTTCTTTTGAGTTTGTTTGACTGCACTGTGTCGATCAACCACCTTGAGTCCGATCAGCCGCACTGGTTTGATCATCCACTCTTTTGGATTCAATCAATCGTCTCAAATTGATCAACCCGTCTTTTTGGTCTGACCGGCCATCGTGGCCCAGTCAACTGATGCATGCTTGTATGTTTTTTTTGCGTGTGTATGAAAAAATATTTTTTACCTAATGTATATGATTTATATTATTACATGTAAAACATTTTTGCCTTGTATGATTTGGATATGACATGTTTGTATGTCTTTTTGAGCATTCATGTTTGTGGTGTCTCTTTGAGATCACACACTTGTAAGTGTCTTCCCCACACATGATGTTGTATGTGCAGGGATGAACACTTGCATTGTTTGGGAGGAGTTGAATCACTTATAAGCCAACTATCTCACTCCTTATATCACCATCTAAATTATAATATGTATTTTGCGTCATGTTGAATACTAGTTATGCTTCGTAGCCACTGGACTGGTGTGAGGAATAATGTGCATCTACTTAAGCATGTGATTCTCACCTATATGAATTACATTACTTAGTACACTAGGCACTATGCATATTTGCATGTTTGTCATGTGAGTGTCAATCTTGTGTCGTATATTTGACATTTCTCATATGATAGTTGCATTTCTATTTGTTTGACTAGTCTCATTTATCTTCTTGCATATCTTGCATGATTGTATGTGTTTTCGGTGAGTGCCCCTCGGGTAAGGTATAAATCCTCATTATAAGTATTCATTCACTCGGCAAACTCATTCGTAGTTAGTGCATGCATATTGCATGGCACCCTAGGACCCCAGGCAACAATAATTCCTTTCCATATGTAACTTGTTTTACCGGTACATCTCGTTCGTGAGTGTCATGTTCCATGTAGGTAGCCTCACATTCATTGACATGATGTGTGCTTCGACTTTTAGCATCCGCTTTGATTGCTTTGTGTTTCAGTCGAACAATCACAATGTGGGTCTTTTGCATGTTTGTATGCTTACCCATTCGCCTTGATGACTTGTTTTACTCGTTAGGAGAGTAACCCATTTACTGGTCGTGATACTCAAATGAGCATAGCCCATGAGGATATATCGGCGAGCAATGCAGGTTACTTTGTTACGAGCAATAAAAACTGTGATTGTGCTGAGACCAAAGAATTTTAAAGTACGCACTTGATTATTTCAGATTCACAGTCAGCTGTCTGTTATTTTAAAGTATAAAAAAAGGAATGCTTTTCGCTATTATAAGTATTATTCACGTACTTTTAAAACTAATATGTTTGACTATATATGATGCCACATCTTTTAAAGTATCATCTCTTTCTTGTGAATTGCATTAGATCCCTTCGATCTTTACGACAGAGTTGGTGTAACAACACTGTTAATTGTTGAAGTCATAAGATAATCATATACTTTATCATGAGAACTTAGATGTTGATTATGACACTTTTCCTTATATGGTGTGTTGGGCTATAATAAGGATGTTATGTAGTATTTCAACACCTTTGACTATATCCATTACCTTGTTTGTTCTAGTCAAGCATCACTTTTGTGCTTTTTGTGTGCTTGTGTGTGCTGGTTTCTTGATATGCATGGTAGTATATTTGGTCAATCTTTTATAAGGAGCCATGCCATATATAACCACACACATAGGTACAATAAAAAAAGGGGGGGGGGGGGGGGGGAAGTTAGTTTTTAACTGGCAAATATTGGGGAAGCATATGATGATTTACATGCTAATTTTTGCATGCATGTGCTGCTTAGTGCCCCCACCAGGCATGACTCAGTCACGTTGCATGCATATAGTTTTTTTGTGCTAACATATTTCTGTGCAGGTTGAATACTTTTTTTATTTTTATTTAATTTTTTATGTACTTTTTAGAGTTGTTAGGAGAGTTCTGTAGTAGAATAAGATACTGACATGCGTTCCGAGGCATTTTGTCGTGGAAACTATGTTGGATGTGACCAGTAACAGATACTTGTATCATGCATCTTAATTCCACATTTTACATTATTGTATAGAATTAGGATTATACATGTATATGTGAAGTCCGACAATTATTTTTCTTTTCTGGGATATGTTGCAGACCCAATGACACCAACCTTTATTTATATTTGACTTGTTTTAATACTTTACTGTATGTTTGTATGCATTGATTATTTTCTCCCTTTTCAGCTTGTGATTTTGTGTGAAAAATGCGAACACAATATAGGTACTTTATGATTTTAAATTTTAAATTTACTACAAAATCTTGATAAAATATATAAGAAAATGAAAATATAGGATTAAAATATTCAGGACTTTAAGGTTTGCACTTTTACTTTATTACATGGCCTTTGAGCCAAATTTTAAATGGGTTTCATAACATGACTCTCACCCAAGTCACATGGTAAGGCTTCCACGTTCAGCCTTATGACAAATAACTGCATCATGTTTGCATGCGTTGAGGAGAAGCCTCGAGCTTCTTTAATCCGATTGTTCCATCATAGATTTCTACTTAAGTGGTTTTCTGGTGTGTTTAGGGTGTTAAAGGCTTCTTTGACCCATACGGGGTGTAAGTCTCGTGTGGAGAGTGTTTCCAGCTATGTAGCTGGAGCTCTTCTTTCCTTTTCTATCCCAAGGCATCTCCGTCGTCTATTTGGAGAGTGTGAGTTCCACTTCTTGAGCTCCACATTATAGTTACAAGATAAAGTTTCTTTCATTTGAACTCACAATTATCGAGGTCTCCAGACAACCAGGTAGACCTAGTGTCCCAGTGACTTAGGATGATTGGTTCGTGATACCATGATCCGACTACCTATACCTTTTAAGACTACTCTACTCTTCTTCTCGTTGAGCCCCTTTGAGCCCTGTCGTTCTTTTGACTTCATTGATATCATCTTTACGACTCAATTACCAATGAGCTGCCTCTCATTTGGGATACAATGATTCACGAGCCGCCCTAATGCCCCAGTGAACTCTGACGTATATGGATATCCAATCGAGACAATTTTGGATATTTTGTAGGCTCTGTATGTCGATGAGTCACTACTCACATGATTTGTGAGAGACTCACTCTTTAACTTGTGGCTCAATGAGAGCTTTGAAGCATCAAAGATTTCCCATACAAAATAATCACCATTTGATGACCTATTCTCTATGTTCATGATAATACAATCAAAACTTCTTTTATTGATAACATTCTTATGTATCTTCCAAGATGTAATTAACCAGATGGATACATTTCTCTGGGAGACTCTTGACCTCATAACAATTTATTATTATTATATGGCTACGGGTGACTTATATAGAGAATCTCTTTGTACATACGTTTCGAGCTACATCGATCAGTCTCACTCGAACATATATTTTCGACCCATCACACTAGGATTGCCCATATATAGGTATTCTGCTTGTTTCTTTTTAATTGTTTGTCTATTTGCCGTTGTTTTAGTTCCAATTTGATTCCTCTCATTTTTGAATAATTCATAATAATTCAGGAGGGAAATTTATTCGAATAAGAAAATCATATAACGACATATATATAAATAAACTGCGACTCATAGTATTGTAAAAAGAATCGAGAAAAAAACATGATATATACAAATTTATATGTGTAAAAAAAATATCATAATTGAAGGATTAACTCAATATGCAAGAAATATTATTTTAGTTATTAAAAATATTTAAAAATATTATTTCAGTAAGCATTTTTTTATTAATTATCATATGGATGCTTATTTTATTTATCAATTTATCATAAATCTTGTTGAATATATAT